ATTTATGTATGATATATATATAATAGAAAAAAACATTTCTTAATATTTCAAACATAAAAGTTTAAGATATATATATATAATATGTCTAAGATTTAACGGTTAAACATTGTCACTATATTCTAAATAGATCTAATAGATTTAAATAAGAAAAAAATGTTATAAATACATAGGTCATTTAAAGCTTTATTAAACAAAATTTAAAAAGAAAAATTTAATTATAATAAAAATATGAAATACAAATGAAATTATAATAGATTCATAATTACAAATATATAATATAATATAATATAATATATATATGATATAATGATATAATATAAGATCAATAATATTTATGTTTACTTTTTATTAAAAATAACTAATTCTCTATTTCAAAAAATATCCATCATTCGTTATAATATAATATTGGCAGCAAAAATAGAAATTATTACTCTCTCAAATTTTCATTTTATTTTATTTTAGATCATAAAGAAATTTAAGATAAGTATTATTGATCTCATTAATTAATTATATAATTGTTTTCTTTGTATTTCATATTTTTGCTATAATTTCTTAATAAATCTCTACATAACTTATGTTTATATAAAATTATTTTCTTATTTAAAATTAGAAAATGACAACCTTTAATTGTTAAAATTTGTATATAAATATCACATTTATATATATTCTTAATATCAGTACCTTGGGATTAAACAACACTGCAGGCATTCTTTTTTTTATTCTTTTCAATAATATCACATTTTGGCATGGGTCATGATTCTTTCTTAGTTTCCTTTAAATTTTCAGGAAGAGACGATGATCTTTGTATAGGTTTTTGTTCAATCAATTCATGTTCTACAAGAGATTTTGATTTCTGCATTTCTATTTCTTTTTTTTTTAATATAGATGCTCCAGTAAATCCTATATTTGTAAGAAATATTGTAAATATTATGAATTCATATTATAATAATATACACTAATAATAATTTACCTAAAATACCACAACCTATGGCAGTTAGTCCACCAACTTTTAATCCAGCTAATAAACCAATTGGTCCACCAATACAAGATCCTATTACAGCTCCTGCTAATGGATACATGGCAACTTTATATCTAGCAGCTTTTTCAAGAAATTTTTCTCCTTCTTTGACATTTACATTTGTTTCCACTATATCATTTTCTGCTGAATTCACTAGTTCTTTTTGATCCTAATGATATAAATAGAAAATCATATATACAAGCAAAAAATAATAAATATGAATAAATGAGATAATTTACATCAACAATTTTGTTAAAATCAACAAATAATTGATGTAACTGATGTATATCTCCTTGCAAGGTATTCCAAGCATGCAGACATGCCTCCTGATGTTGCAAGTCCTGTTGTTCTTTTTGAAGTTGGATATATGTATTGTCAAGTGGATGACTATTGGCTTGATTTTCATTTATGGATGATTCTGGTGACATGGGCAAATTTAATTCTAATTCTACAAGCAAATATAAATAAACTTCATATAATAACTTCAAGTAATGTAAGTAATACGAAATATAATTTCATTTTACCCATATATTCTTTTATTGCATTCAGAATACTTGCACGTGCATTAGCAGTTAGTTTATCAAATTGATTAATATCAGAATCAAGAACATGAGCTCTTAAAGTATCCATTTGATATAAAAGTTCTTTGAGTTGTTTTATAATTCTTGCTACATTTATGTGTTCTCTACGCATTTTTTCCCAATCATGTTGTGCTTGATACTATTAGAACAAAACATTATGCAAACATCTATTATTTAACTAATGATTTCATTTACTACTTACTTTTTGAATGTTAGTTTTATGTCGTTTTAACAAATCAACATGATGTGGTATTGCCACATTGAAATTATTAATTTGGATTTCTAAGCGCCTAATAGGCTGCTTTATAGCAATGTTTTCTGGTGAGGACGACATGTTTCGATGTCGTCTTATACAAAGTTTTGTCTATTATCCAATTGCATTAACGTTTTTGTAATTCTTAAAACATAATTTTTTGAAAATGTTTAACTTAAAACGTATTGTGTTATAAAAAAAACTAGAGTTAATAATTTTTTTTTTAATAAAATATCAAACATTTATGTTATAGAAATTATAATAGCTTATTGTACGATCAATTTATTTTTATGTATATGAATCAAAAAAGATAACCAATCAGCTGATTATTTCTGCGTGTAATATGCTTATAATCATTTACTAGCATCAATGCCATCTGTACTAATTTTCAAATAGTTAACTCAAAATAAGTCATATTATTTTGTATAGATGGCAGCATTTATAATATTTTATATACAAAGAATATTTTTTTAAATGAAAAATTTATTTTTAATTTAGCAATAATTACGATATATGAGTTTCTGATTTATTGATTTAAATTTCTATTTTTTTTACAATTTTGTTTATTTATTTATACAACAAGCAGCGAAAATATATATTAATTATATATTATATTCATGCTAACATCTTTAAAAAATCAATTCTACAGACCAAACAAAAATTGCATGTAAAAATGTCTATTGAGGTTTTTTAAGTTATAAACAATTTATGTTTGACGATTAGACAAAATGAGACGAAGATAGATTGAAACCATTTTATTTCTGCTATATTTCTTCATTCTATCTTCCCCTTGCTTCATTTTATACAAATTTAAATTGCTATAATTTAATAAATAGCATATTTTTATTATTAATTTTTGTATTTTTTTACTCTAGAATTAACACTTCAAAAATGTATCACAATGTATTAATAATCTATATAAAAAAAAAGACATTTTATCTATTTACATTATTTATTTCTTTTTCAATTAAATAATTTTTTATTTTTTTTTTATTAAGATATATTATAATTTCAAGAAAGAAAAAAGAAAGAAAGAAAAAATATAAATTCCATTATCTTCTGTACTATTACATCTATATTTTTTTTTTTTTTTGAATAGCCATCGAGTTACCAATTGTACTGAGAATTTCGATGCGTCTCGAATTCAAGTTCTATCAGAGTTAAACAATAGCTACTCGTTCACTATCAGCCAGAAAGTCGCAAAACGCTGTTCCAAAAGGACGTACGATCTTGATGAGTTTCACGAGGGCTCACCGAATGTACAATTCGGTATAAAGCCGATGAAGCTTTCGGTAATGAAAAACCGATTGCGACCAAATAGGCTCTGGGCTGCCAGTGACGTGTAATCGAGTCTTTCGTCCCTCTACCATACCACCATCTATCTCCGTTTTACTC